ATTTCTTGGAAAAGGTTAGTAGTTGCCAACTCCTTAAGTTTCTGTCTATTTAAATCATATTGACCTGAGAAGAAACATTAATTTCATATTTTTACAGAATTGTTTGTGAAGGATTTAATGCCAATAATTGGTTGAAAACAATTCAACCTGAGAAGAAACATTAATTTCATATTTTTACAGATTGTTTGTGAAGGATTTAATGCCAATAATGGGTTGAAAACAATTCCCTCAAGAAAAAGTATAAAAAACAAGTAAAAAACTAACTACAATGATATGTGACCTTCTGTAACTTAATGTTCTCCACAGCAGGCCACAAGTGAGTGGGTCCAGAGATTATTTCTAAAGAAGTACAAGATAAAATATTAAAATTTCCTACTAGTTGAAAATGGAAAGATGATAATAAACCCATTTGTTCACAATTATTTTTGTTGTATCCTGATACAAACCCAAAGTTCAAATTTTGGAAAGAGATTATATCATTATCTTCTAATTATTTAAAATAATATAGGGGCCCTCCCTGGTGGCGCAGCGGGCTAAAGCACAGCACTGAGAATCTAAAGCCGCTTCCACATGAGCTCGATCCCCGCCTGCCCCGGAGGTGACCACAGGGCGCCGCAGACCTCTCCTGACCCGCCCGCTGCTCCCCTCAGCAGTGTACTTCATCCATCTGCCTGTTCTGTTCCCCACTCTGTCTCTGGTGAGGCCTCTCACCGCCCCTGAGCCTCTGGCCTGTACCCCAGTTCTGTATGCACAAATAAATAAATCTTTAAAAAAATAAAAATAAATAAAAAAAATAAAAAAAAATAATAATAATATAGGAACTCGATCACATCAAATAACATTAGCAGTCACCTTTACTGTTTTGGTGCACACACAAATGTAGCATAAAGTTTCCAAAATACTGAGTTCATGCACTGTTCTCTAATATCGTTAGTCTGTCTATAAGATCAAAACATAGTGTCAACTGGTACATTTATTTCATACCTCACTAATGGTTTGTGACATCTATTTTGAAAACCCCTGAGTTATAGGACAATTTTTTTTAACTAAATAAAAAAATTCTGTAATCAGTGAGAGAGGGTGTCATTTTATCATAACCATTTCCCTCTGGATCATATGTGTGACCATTTGGAGATAACAGATGACAAAATAGAGCAGGATGAATTTATTTTAAAATACTGGAATTGTGCCCCAAATCAAACCGAGGGTCACTTGGGTATTGTCAGAGTGTTTCCATTACTAGTTAAAACAAAATAGTATAGTTTGAGCTGGTGAAAATTTACCTCAAGGTAGTGTCTGTGTGATGTCTGTGTGGTACCTCTGCAACCATAATCAAGTATCCTGCTCTCTCTTTTTGCCAGGATTGTTAAACTTTAACAGGATCATTAGAATTGACAGTAGAGGATTTTCCCCCTTGTGTTTGTAGTTTGCTTTATGTATAATAATAATAAATAAACATATAAACACATACACTTACAGATCACTAACTATACTAAAAAAATAAAATAAAAATAATAAATGTTCCATGATTTTACTTTGAAAAGATAACAATGTGAACATACTTTGTTTCAAAGCATGCTCTGAATTGTCTAAACTAAAACTCTTTGTTTCCAATAACAATTCCAGGATGACAAAAAGTTTTCCTAAGGGAAAACAATAAAGCACCACATACAAATCTTTTTCAGGGAGGACATACTTCTGATTGACTCCTTTGTCCATATTTTTCCTTTTTTGGCATTCAGAAATTAAGATTGAGATTGAAAGAAAACTTCTGAACTTTTTAAGAAAAACTAAAACATTAATTTGTGCAATTTTAAAACACTAGAATGAGCTGCTAAGTTGTGCATGGTTTCTGATTCTGTCACTAATGTAATCTTAAATAAGTAATCTATTATGTGTATCTTTGGAGCTCAAAGTGTTATTTATTGGAGGAAGCAGAAAGTTCAGTTTATTTCTTTATCCATCCATATACTTTGTGCCTCTGTAACAAGTGGAGTTCAGTCCATTTAACTTAAGAAGGATTATAGATGTATGAAAGTCTATAACTGTCATTTTGCCCTTAACTTTTCTATTTATTTCTCTGTTCACGTCTTTGTCTGTCCCTCGCTTTGGGCAAGAGAAAACTCCTTTCATTATTTCTTGGAAAAGGTTAGTAGTTGCCAACTCCTTCAGTTTCTGTCTCTTGAGATCTTCCTGTCTCCCTCATATTTGGAAGGAGTCTTGCAGGAGAGAGTGTTCTTGGCTGGCAGTTTTCATCTTCAAGGATTGGAACATCTCGTTCAATTCTCTCTTCATCCAAAATGTTCCTTCAGAAAACGTCAATTTAGCCCGACTGGGAAACATCATTGGGTCATCTGCTTCTTCACCTTTACCAGCTTCAAGAGTCTTTCTTTTCCTTTAGTTCTTAAAAGTTTTACTACAAATGCCTTGGTGTATAATCTCATTTGATTAGCTATCCAGGGGTTCTTTTAGCTTCCTGGATTTGTACACTCATTCCCTAGCGTAAGTGTGGGACATTTTCTCCAATATTTCTTTAAATACATTCTCTGTTCCCTTCTTTCTCTCTGCTGTCCCTATTATTCTTATTAGTCCTCTCCTTATCGGATAAGATAATTTGGGAGGTGTTTCTTCATTTGTTTTACTTTGTTTCTCTTTTCTTTTCTACCGTAATTCTTTGTTCATTCACATTTTCGAGCACACAAAGTTTTCATCATTTGGTCTGTTGCCCTTTCATAGTTCTCGTTGTATGTTTCATCTCCTACAATGTTCTTTTTACATCCTGAAACTCCACGTTTTTCCTTAAAGCTTCCATCTTGACCTTTTGCCCATTGATCGTATTTCCTTTGCTTTTCCGTGTTTTCTTTGTACTTTTCCAATTCTTGATTTTCTTCATCACAGAAATTTTGAATTCTGCATCTAAAAGGAAAACAGTCTCTTCCATTTCTTTGTGATTTTGTTCCAGTAAGTAGTTCTCTCCATGTGATGTTTTGACCCCCCTCTGGGGTGTTTTGTTACTGTGAGTCCTTGTGTATTCCTTTGCTATGTGTGTGTGTGTTTAAGATTTATTTATTTATGCATACAGAGCTGGGGTACAGGCCAGAGGCTTCACCAGAGACAGAGTGGGGAACAGAACAGGCAGATCCACGAAGTCCACTGCTGAGGGGAGCAGCGGGTGGGTCAGGAGAGGTCTGCCGTGCCCTGTGGTCACCTCCGGGGCAGGCGGGGATCAAACTCATGCTGATGTGGCTTTAGCTTCTCAGTGCTGTGCTTTAACCTGCTGCGCCAGCAGGGAGGGCCTGTTTGCTGTGTTTTTCATTCTCCCCATGTCAGTTTTCATGTCGTCCAGCCGTTGGTGTACCTTCTGTTCCTCTTACAAGCTGATCTGGACTCATCGGGACCGACTGCCCTGACTCTGTTAAACAGCTCAGGACCTGGATATGCTGCTTCCTCCCTCAAGGTCAGGAAGATCCTGCTTCCCTGGTGGCCTGGCTCTCTGTGCCCCACACAGTGGTGGGGAGCTGGCTGCCAAAGCAGGGGTGGGAGGAGCGCCGTGCTTCCTCCAGGGCCGGGTTGGTCCTGCTCACCTGTACCCTGTGGAGGGGCATATTTATTATCTTATTTACACTCTCCCTCGGGACCAAAAGAATATCCTGGCATATAGGAGACATTCAGATATATATGCTGTCATCACAGAACACTTCAACAGGACCAGAGAAGAAATAAAAGTCATTAAAAATGCTTGACAGGGCCCTCCCTGGTGGCGCAGAGGGTTAAAGCACAGCACTGAGAAGCTAAAGCCACTTCCGCATGAGTTCGATCCCCGCCTGCCCCGGAGGTGACCACAGGGCGCGGCAGACCTCTCCTGCCCCGCCCGCTGCTCCCCTCAGCAGTGGACTTCGTCGATCTGCCTGTTCTGCTCCCCCCTCTGTCTCTGGTGAAGCCTCTCACCGCCCCTGAGCCTCTGGCCTGTACCCCAGCTCTGTATGCACAAATAAATAAATCTTTAAAAAAAAAAAAATGCTTGACAAAGGCCATTAGTAGACTCCTAAGATTATAATTGTTTGACCTTTACAAAAATAAAGGTCAAACACTTCTGGTTTCACTTAACAGAGATTATAAGAATTGTTAATATCTGAGTTTCATCAAAAGGAATTTAAAAATCTTATTATAGACTGGTAAAATCTGGAGACACTTAATCCATTTATATGACTGGGCAATCTTGTTTTCCATGCAAATGAATTACTAAAATATCCTGAAGGCCTCTCTACCTTTCAAATCAACAAAAGTAATTAGCAAAGATATCAGCTATGGCTGGCCATGTGTGATTTGTAAGCATAATTCCTACATTCTACTTTGGTTTCAAAACATTAATTTTGCTAATTATTCCCCCAGAAAATACTAATACATAGTCATAAAGAAAATCTCAATGCTGGTACAGATTCAGAATATAATATCAGAATTAAGGGTTATTTTATTTCTATAAACAAAAACAAATGAATATTCATCTTCTACCTACAAAATTTTCTTAAAAAACTATATTCATGGCCCTCCCTGGTGGCGCAGCGC